ATGTCATTTCAGCTATTTTTGCAGTCAGGATTTTATAATATATTGTTGAATTCACAGAAGAGACAAAGTACATGTGAGGGCAATCTAATGCATCCCCCCCGGGAACTAGAAAAGGCCAACAGTGACAAATACCTCACAAGATACTTTTTTTTCCCGAAAAATTACGGTTTCTTATTCTGGATACCCAATTTGAACTTTTCAACAATAATTATACCACTATTAAGATCATATTATATCTTCTCAAAAACCTGGATTCGGTTGTTGTTTGTATCACATACAACTATTCTTCCATCACTAAGATTTGCTGTTGACACTGGAAACTTTAACTCTCCTCTCACACTTCCTAACTTTGTAACAAACTTTCCACTCAGTTCAAATACCTGAACCCTGTGATTTTCTGCATCACAGACCATTAGCAATCCTTCTTTGTTAACTGACAAGTAACCGGGCTTATTGAACTCTCCATCCTTGTTTCCCTGTTTTCCAAATTTAGAAATGAACCTTCTCTCAAGATCAAACATTTTAATGGAATGATCACCCGAGTCTGAGACTATAATATATTGACCGTGTTGGATACAGTGAAAGGGAGTGACCAAAGAACCTGCTCCACCAAATTTACGTAAATACTCCCCACTAGAAGAGAATATCTTGATTAATTTGTTTTTGCTATCAGCAACAATAATATCACCGTTGCCGTTTATTGATAAACCTTCAAGATATTGAAGCTGATTATCACGACTTCCATATTCACCAAACTTACTAAGAAAGTTACCATTCGTATCAAAGACTTGCACCCTGTGGTTCAAACGGTCTGCCACTACAATATTACCATGACTATCAAAAGCGATCCCTCTAGGGCTCCGGAACTCACCATCATTGCTACCCCATCTACCAAACGATCTTAAGTGGGTACCGTCACTACTAAACACTGAAACACTGTGGTTACCCCACTCAGTCACTGCAATTTCATCACGATCATTCACTGCCATCCCCCAGGGACCGTTAAGCATTTCAACAGACTTACCTTTTTGTCCAAATGACAGCACAAATCTGAAGCGCCTGGTTTTTACCTGAGCCTTAAAAGGACTTTCACAAAAACTTGCCCCTTTATCCCAAGCAACTACTTTATTACTTTCTTTACCTTTAGTTCCTGATTGTTCCGCTTTAGTTTCGCTAAAAACAAATTCTACTTTACCTATCCCCTCGCTCATGCTCAACAAGTTAATCAGTTTTTCACTTTTAGTGAAACTAAATCGAGGAATACATTCAGTGTCACGGTTTTCTTGGGTGCTCTGTTCCTGTAGGATTGAATCAAATGTTTCACTGAATCCAAGGATTTCAGTGCTAAAGCTTCGTTTCAACAGAGTTTCAGTTTGTTTAATTGCGGATTCAATTATTTTTAATTGTTTTTCCACTTCGTCTTTTTTCTGTGAGAGAGATTCCAGTGATTGTTTCGCTTGATTATCGACTGCATCAAAGACATCTTGTTTCCTCGCTTCGATGATTGCAATAATTTGGTCTACAAAAGACTGCACTTGGCTTCTTACCTCGGTTACTTTCCATTGAAATGCCATGCTTCTTTGGTTGAATTGTTCGACTTCCTTTTGTTTTTCCAGTACTTTGTCTTTCAAAGATCGAATCATGGAGTTGATCTGTGTTTTGCGCTCATCAGTAGCTTCTTGCAAGGGCATCTTACCATGACCTTCATGAAGCGTCATGGCACAAGTGCTACAAATGGCGACTTTACAGCCCTTGCAAAAGAACTTCAACTCTTCTTTTTCATGGTGTTTCTTCTGACAAAATGCTGGTCGCTCTAATATGGCCTTGATGTCTTGATCTTGAAAATCTTTTAGTGCTAACGTTCTGTGTTCGTTGTTAGCACGCATTATGTCATGTCCTAAAATGCATTTCTCGCACCAGAAGGAGCAACACTGGAAGCAATACGAAGTCTGGGCACCCCTTTTATCGCAGTTTCCACACTTCACGTTAGCTGTACTACACTCTTTTATTGCCAAGACATCTAGCAGGCTGTTTATTCGAAAGTTAGTGGGAAGTTCGGTGGGATTTCCACTTCCAGAAATCTGAAACTGTCTCCTACACTCGGGGCATGTAATTTTTCCATGGACGCCGCTCGTTCGTTGAATTCTGTTCAGGCAATGAAGACAGAAACTGTGCAAACAAGGCAACTGCTTTGGATCAGTGAATGAACACATGCACACAGAGCAGGATACTTCATCATGGAGATTGTCGAGCAAGGTCTTGATATCCATGGAAAAGGTGGGAAACAAGTTTACTTTTTAAAAACTTTGGCCTAGTTGTTGACGAACAAGGGAATGGCTTTGCTACTGAACAATGAAGTCTTGTCTTGTGACCCAGACTAAACCGGCTCTGTATTATTAACCAATCATATAGAGTTTCTTGACATGTTTTGACAGTTTGACGGAGGAATGAAAAACATCCTATATTTCCGAGAATTGTTTGTTGTATAGGTATTGAACCTGCCGTCAAGGGTTTCCGCGCGAGGTCGTCGTCAAGAAAGTCGAAGCGAGGGCAATAAGGAGTAATGAAGAATCTTTCTCTCCCTAAATCGTTCGGAAAAATTTACTTAGCAGGCTAAAGCATTGACTATTGAAATTTTTTTAATATTTGTGTACATTCAACTACAGCCTAAGCCGCACCCTCCCCTACACGTAGGCACACTGAACACATTATGAACACTCGCCTACAATCCTTGGATAGAGTTTCTTGACATGTTTTGATGGTGTGACGAAAGAATAAATAACATCCTGTATTTCCGAGAATTGTTAATCAGCTCTCTGAAAGAGCTTTCTCTCCCTAAAATTCGATCGGAAAAATTGCTACGCAGGCGATAAAAGAATGGACTACTGAATTTTTTTGAATATTTGTGAAACCAGAACACTCAGAACGTTACAGACGCGTACAATTCTTGGACGGATATTAACTGGGAAAGAAAGTCCCCGTTGGCCCAAAGTCAGAAGCAAAAAAGTCACGCGAAAGACAAAACGGGCCATTTCCCCATCTTTTACTTTACAGGATGGAGGACGGATTTATTTTCCATCGAATTTTTTCCAAGATAGTGCTCGTTAATCTGAGTGTATTCAGCAAATACATCAATCAACCTTCGGTCAAGTCTCCTCAGTTACTGCGCAACAAAATCTTCCAGAAACAAAGGTAATTACAACCACAGAGGAGTTGAAACACATCTAATCAAATCACATCTCCTGTAGTCTCTGAACAGGCCTTTAGTCGAGCGGGGAACTGGGGAGAGGGAAAAGCGAAAAGGCCTCTTTCCCTCTTTCCCTTCCCTCTCCTCGCGATTTTTTTCCCCAAACAGAGAGCCTGTTCACAGGCTACATCTCCTGCAGTATCTTTAACAAAAAATAATGGTCGCATGGTGTCTTTATCTTTCGAAGTGTGTGATTTGAAATAGGCTATAGCTTACCTGTGTATTTTATTGTGTAGCTAAGTGGGGTTTGTCTAAAATGGTGTCAAAATTTGATGTCATTTCGTAGGCTGGAAAATACGGTAAAAAAACTGCCTATTTAACCTCTAAGTTGGGTAACTCTAAGTTCCAAACTGATCCGAACTCAGAAAGAGGAAACTTGAGAAGGAAGAGTAACCCAATAACTCCTCGATGTCTGATGAAACGCTCAAAACTTTATTTTTGTTTACTTTACTTTATTTTTGTTTTCTAATACTATATACCAAATTTGGCGATCTCTTTGATAAAAGCTGTTCCAGAAAGGTTCACCAGCACGAAAGTTTCTTTTCTTTACTTAACTTGTCATTTTAGTATGGAAAAAGCCACTCACTGTTAGATACTCTTCAGTTTTTTTATTAAAACTTGCGGAAAAAGAGTAACATTAATTGAATGAAAAAAGAGAAGAAGGCTAATGACAAAGCTCAGCAAGAGTTCGAATCCAGTTTTTTTAAATACAGTTCGGAATTTGATTCACAGCGAGCTAAGCCTCCTTCCCAGACTCTTTGTTTTTCCCACGGTTTCTAATAGAGGCGAGCGCGAAACGCGAGTGACTGGTGACGAAGCGCAAGGGACCAGCGGCGAGCTACTTTATCAGGTGACACATGGCCTACAATAAGCGCAGGCGCAATTTCGAACAAGCGAGCCGCGCAAAGTGTGTGGCTGCCTGTGTGTGATTGTGAAAGCAAACTAAGAGCTCATTAAAACTCTGGAAATATTAATTGGTCTCCTACCATTACTCTCTAAAAGGCAGACGCCTCTGTGGGGTAACAGTTATAAACGGTTCCAACGATCGTCTCAAAGAGTTGACTGTAACACTATTAAACAGAGCGAATTCTAGTACGCGCTCCAAGAAAACACCTGCAGTGACCTGATTTGGTCATTTGGACTTCACGCTTGAGGAGCCTGGGACGGTACAAAAAGGAATTGAACTCTGGGACAGTTTTGGAGAGAACACCGCTTTTATTGGCTATCGCAAGAGGCTTACAAGGTTGCCATCACTTGTGTGAGTGGCTGATGTACTAAACTCTGCTCCTGTTATCTCTTTGGCTTTCTATAGAAACAAAAATATAAGTCAGAATGTACTTTTCCGTCGGACGAGAGGGCTTTCCAATGACTCAGCCGTCTCGCGAGGGAATTTTTGCGGCCAGCGACCTCGCTACTCGAGGTAAAGACAATGGCACTCCGGAGAGGAGACGGGAGATAACCTTATCTGCTCCCATGTTCTTTCTCTCCCCTCCCATTCATGCACTTGCTACGCAGGTTACACTTGCGTACAGCTTGTAGTACATGCCCTGAACTGAAGTGTTTATAGTAGATGTAACAGATATCTACCTTTATAGAATAACTAAGATAGCACGCGCGTTCTGATTGGTTAAAAACCTATGGTTTATTGTGCCGGTAAACTCAAAGAAAACTTAAAGTAATTTTATAGAAGCAATAGACCACGCTTTCTATGGGTTTACCGGCGTGATAACCCCCGCGGGATGTCGGGAGAACACTCGAAAAGCTTGTAAATCACGAGCCGAGGGGATTATCACGCCGGTAAGCCCATAGAAAGTGTAGTCCATTGCTTGATAAAACTCTTTGTCGTCTGCTTTGGTTGTTTTGGGTCCATATGGACCCATGCATATTATTCTCCCTGGACCCTTAAGGCTTTCAATTCTAGCTATTAAGATGGTAATTAGTAATATCGGCGAGGATAGAGCACATGTTTACGTGTACATCATTTAGCAAATTTTGACCAATCTCAAAGCACCTGACGGCTCAAATTGATTAAGGCTTGGTTCTTTACAAATTCGTCAGAATTTTAAAGGGAAGTGGTCACATGTAACTTTTCTTTTTTTATGATACCGTAAAATTCCGAAAATAAGCCCTTCCATGTATAAGCCCCTTCAAATATAAGCCCCCCAATCCGGTGACGCATGAACCCTCCGTTAAATCGCCCCTCCAAATATAACCCCCCTAGCAAAATTGCCCTCAAATGCAAAGTAAAACAAAGCAAAAATGGTAAATTTACTTCCAACTATAAGGCTAGCCCAATCGATATTGAAACGCATCTTTCCCTCCGTAGATGAGCCCCTCCACAAATAAGCCCTTCAAAAAGGGCCTTTGGAAAATATAAGTCCCGGGGCTTATTTTCGGAATTTTACGGTATCCCAGGTCTAATAAATTAAGGCTAATCATAACTAAGAAATCTTCAAAGTTCATGTGAAAAATTGTTTATAACTGCATCGCGTGACCAGCCACGCCCTGTTTTATCTAGAAATCCTTTGAGTCGAAATGCAAACTATGTAGAAAGCAAACGGTAAATTTGCTTTTGTAGGTCCAAACAGTGGCTGCCGATAGTCTTGTTGAAAAAAGATTGGAATGAGACGAAAGTGTCCATATTAAGCGGGTTGAATTAAGAGAAAACTGTGTAAGGGCTTTTTTTCCCCAGGGACAAAAAATGAGGTGTCTTCAAGCAAAAGTACTATGAGTTTGTCCTCAAGCAAAAGTACCAAGCCATTTGACAAAAATTCACTTTTCATCAAAAAACAACCAAATCTGGCCATTTAACGTCAGTAAAATCAGGTGAAAAAATGGGCAAAAGATGATTTTTCGGTTTTTTGATTAAAGAGGGGTTCGACTACACGGTTGCCTTGTCCTACAAACTGCTGCTCAGTAGACCTTTACGCGGCTCGGATGATCACTGGACATATAATGACGGTCCATTCTAGGAGAAGAGACGTAAAAATACTGTCCTCAATTAGTACAAGCGTGCTATACACATTATTTTACACTTGAACTTTAATGAAGTACTGGTAAGTTTAACGCCAACACATGATGGTCTCATTAACAACGATAAATTTGAAGAAAGAAAGCATTCTTCATATTTGATTATCCTTTAATGCATTTTCAACAAAACGGTATACAATTCTGTAAATGTATATGTTATAATTTAACAGACCTGAATATCCTGATAAAAAAAAAAAATGGTACTTGAGCTGAGGGCGCGGGAAAAATACTTCCAAAAATACACAAGCTAACAACTAGCAACTGCTGGAAAGAAAATGAAAAGGGGTACAACATACAAAACAATTTTGATACCAAAAAATTGAACAACCTTATTAAACTATAATCGGCAATTCAACAATACTACAATACATATGAAAAAAGGTTACAAGTTAAAATATATTTACAAGCTGAATGTCATTTCAGCTATTTCTATAATTTATTATTACATTCTCAGAAGAGACAAACTACATGCGAGGGCAACCCCCTAGAAAAGGTCAACAGTGACAAATACCTCACGAGATGGGGTTGTTCGAAAAATTACGGTTTCTTATTCTACAAAACCAATTTGAACTTTTCAACAATAATTATACCACTGGTAAGATCATATTATATCTTGTCAAAAACCTGGATTCGGTGGTTGTCCATATCACACACAACTATCCTTCCATCACTAAGATTTGCTGTAGACCTTGGAAAGTTGAACTTTCCTCTCTCACTACCTTCACTTCCAAACTTTGTAACAAACTTTCCACTCAGTTCAAATACCTGAACTCTGTGATTTTCTGCATCACAGACCATTAGCAATCCTTCTTTGTTAACTGACAAGCAACAGGGCTTATTGAACTCTCCATCCTTGTTTCCCTGTTTTCCAAATTTAGAAATCAGCTTCCCCCCCAGATCAAACATTTTAATCGAATGATCACCACCGTCTGAGACTATAAAATATTGACCGTGTTGAATACAATGATGGGGTTTTACCAGAGAACCAGCTCCACCAAATTTACGTGAATACTTCCCACTAGAAGAGAATATCTTGATTAATTTGTGGCCCTGATCAGCAACAATAATATCACCGTTGCCGTTTATTGATAAACCTTCAGGGAAATTAAGCCGTTCATCTCTAATTCCTTTTGGACCAACCTTACTAAGAAATTTACCATTCCTATCAAAGACGTGCACCCTGTGGTTCCAACAGTCCACCACTACAATATTGCCATGACTATCAAAAGCGATCCCTTTAGGGTCCCAGAACTCACCATTATTCTGACCTTCCCTACCAAACGATCTTAAGTGGGTACCGTCACAACTAAACACTGAAACCCTGTGGTTCCGGTATTCAGTCACAGCAATTTCATCACGATCATTCACTGCCACCCCCCAGGGACTGTTAAGCATTCCAACAAACTCACCTTTTTGTCCAAATGACAGCACAGATCTGAAGCGCCTGGTTTGTACCTGAGTCTCAAGAGGACTGTCACGAACATTTGCCCCTTTATTCCCAGCAATTACTCTACTATTTTCTTTACCTTTAGTTCCCGATTGTTGCGCTTTAGGTTCGTTAACAACAAATTCTACATTACCTATCCCCTCGCTCATGTTCAAAAGGTTAATCAGTTTTTCACTTTTAGTAAAACTAAATCGAGGAATACATTCAGTGTCACGGTTTTCTTGACTGCTCTGTTCCCGCAGGATTGTATCAAATGTTTCACTGAATCCAAGGATTTCAGTGCTAAAGTTTCGTTTCAACAGAGTTTCAGTTTGTTCAATTGCTGATTCAATTAATTTCACTTGTTTGTCCACTTCGTCTTTTTTATGTGAGAGAGATTCCAGCGATTTTTTCGCTTGATTATCAATCACTTCAAAAACATCCTGTTTCCTCGCTTCGATGATTGCAATAATTTGGTCTACAAAAGACTGCACTTGGCTTTTTACGTCGGCTACTTGCGATTGAAGTTCGATGCTCTTTTGGTTGATTTCTTCCACTTTCTTTCGTTTTTCCAGTGCTTTGTCTTTCAAAGATTTAATAGTGGATTTGATCTGTGTCTTGCGGGCATCCGTAGCTTCTTGCAAAAGCATCTTGACATGATTATCATGAAGTGTCATGGCACAAGCGCTACAGATGGCGACTTTACAGTCCTTGCAAAAGAGCTCCAACTCTTTGTTTTCATGGTGTTTCTTCTGACAAAATGCTGGTCGCTCTAAAACAGCCTTGATGTCTTGATCTTGAAAATCTTTCAGCGCTAGCGTTCTGTGGTCTTTATTTTCTCGCATTATGTTGTGTCCTACAATACATTCTTCACACCAGAAGGAACAACACTGGAAACAATACGAGGTCTGGGAGCTCCGTTTCTGGCAGTTTCTGCATTTCACGTTGACTGTACTGCACTCTTTTATTGCTAAGACATCTAGCAGGCTGTTTATTCGAAAATTGGTGGGAAGTTCGCTGGGATTTCCACTTCCAGAAATCTGAAACTGTCTTCTACACTCGGGACATCTAATTTTTCCATGGACGCCGCTCGTTCGTTGAATTTCGTTCAGGCAATGAAGACAGAAACTGTGCAAACAAGGCAACTGCTTTGGATCAGTGAATGTACACATACACACAGAGCAGGATACTTCATCGTGAAGATTGTCCAGCAAGGTCTTGATATCCATGGAAAACGTGGGAAACAAAGTTACTTATTAAAAAGTTTGGCCCAGTTGTTGACGAACAAGGGAATGGCTTTGCTAATGAACAATGAAGTCTCGTCTTGTGACCCAGACTAAAGCAGCTCTGTATTATTTACCAATCAAATAGAGTTTCTTGACATGTTTTAATGGTTTGATGGAGGAATAAAAAACATCCTGTATTGCCGAGAATTGTTAATCAGCTCTTTGAACCCGCCGTCAAGGGTTTCCGCGCGAGGTCGTCGTGAAGAAAGTAGAAGCGAGGGCAAAAAAGAGTAATGAAGAATCTTTCCCTCCCTAAATCGTTCGGAAAAATTTGCTCAACAGGCTAATGCATTGACTGTTGAAATTTTTTTCACATTTGTGTACATTCAACTAGCCTACGTGAAACAGCACCCTCCCCTACACGTAGGTACACTGAACACATTATGAACACACGCCTACAATCCTTGGATAGAGTTTCTTGACATGTTTTGATGGTGTGACGAAAGAATAAATAACGTCCTGTATTTCCGAGAATTGTTAATCAGCACTTTGAAAGAGCTTTCTCTCCCTATATAAGATTCGTTCGGAAAAATTGCTACGCAGGCGATAAAAGAATGGACTACTGAAATTTTTTGAATATTTGTGAACACCAGAACACTCAGAACGTTACACACGCGTACAATTCTTGGACAGATATTAACTGGGAAAGAAAGTCCCCGTTGGCCCAAAGTCAGACTCACAAAAGCCACGCGAAAGACAAAACGCGCCATTTCCCCATCTTTTATTTTACAGGATGGAGGACGGATTTATTTTCCATCGAATTTTGTCCAAGATAGTGCTCGTTAATCTGAGTGTTTTCAGCAAGTACATTAATGAACCTTCGGTCAAGTCTCCTTGGCTGCGCAACAAAATCCTCCAGAAACAAAGGTAGTTGCAGAAAATCTTACTAATTCTTAACCTTCAGTGGGCCTTTTGGCCAAGCTTAGACTTCCAACCACAGAGGGGTTGAAGCACTTCTAATCAAATCAGATCTCCTGTAGTCTGTGAAGAGGCCTTTAGTCGAGCGGGGAACTGGGGAGAGGGAAAAGCGAAAAGGCCTCTCTCCCCCTTTCCCTTCCCTCTTCTCGCGATTTTTTTCCCCCAAACAGAGAGCCTGTTCACGGGCTACATCTCCTGCAGTATCTTTAACAAATAATGATGGTCGCATAGTGTCTTTTATCTTTCGAAGTGTTTAATTTGAAATAGGCTAAAGCTTACCTGTGTATTTTATTGTGTAGCTAAGTGGGGTTTGTCTAAAATGGTGTGGATGAGACGTGGATTAGACGTGGATGAGTTAAGGTGAAACGATAGCCTGACAAGAAATCGTTCCTCAAGGATACCATAGAGTTAACCTGTGTGGAGAACATAAAAAGGGGACGGGGAGGGAGAAGGGGAGGGGATTAAAAAGACTCCTGCAATGAAGAATCCTATAGTACTAAACAGATAAGATAAGATAAGCACAAGCGGAGAGGAGAGGAGAGGGGAGGGGAGGGGGTTATAGAGAGGATTAAGGAGACTCCTCCAATGAGGAACCCTATGCTGCTAAACAGACTGAAGACAAGTTAAGGACAAGAGGAGAGGAGAGGGTAGGGTAGGGGAGATAACCTTATCTGCTCCCATGTTATTTCTCTCCCCTCCCCTTCATGCACTTGCTACGTAGGTTACACTTGCGTACAACTTGTAGTACATGCCCTGAACGGAAGTGTATATAGTAGATTTAACAGATAACTACCTTTATAGAATAACTAAGATAGTACGCACGTTCTGATTGGTTAAAAAGCTATGGTTTATTGTGCCGGTAAACTCATAGAAAACTTTAAGTTATTTCATAAAAGCAATGGACCACACTTTCTCTGGGTACGGGCGTGATAACCCACGCGGGATGTTGGGAGAACACTCGAAAAGCTTGTAACTCACGAGCCAAGGGGATTATCACGCCGGTAAGTCCACTAGTATAAAGTGTGGTCTATTGCTTAATAAAACTCTTTGTCGTCGGCTTTGGTCGTTTTGGGTCCATATGGACTCATGCATATTATTCTCCCTGGACCCCTTAGGCTTTCAATTCTAGCTATTAAGATGGTAATTACCAATATCGGCGAGGATAGAGCACATGTCCACGAGTACATCATTTAGCAAATTTTGACCAATCTCAAAGCACCTGACGGCTCAAATTGATTAAGGCTTGGTTCTTTACAAATTCCTCAGAATTTTGAAGGGGGTGGTCAAATGTAACTTTTCTTTAACATGCAGTAAAATTCCGAAAATAAGCCCCTCCATGTATAAGCCCCTTCAAATATAAGCCCCCCAATCCGGTGACGCATGAACCCTCCGTTAAATCGCCCCTCCAAATATAACCCCCCTAGCAAAATTGCCCTCAAATGCAAAGTAAAACAAAGCAAAAATGGTAAATTTACTTCCAACTATAAGGCTAGTCCAATCGATATTGAAACGCATCTTTCCCTCCGTAGATGAGCCCCTCCACAAATAAGCCCTTCAAAAAGGGCCTTTGGAAAATATAAGTCCCGGGGCTTATTTTCGGAATTTTACGGTATCCCAGGTCTAATAAATTAAGGCTAATCATAACTAAGAAATCTTCAAAGTTCATGTGAAAAATTGTTTATAACTGCATCGCGTGACCAGCCACGCCCTGTTTTATCTAGAAATCCTTTGAGTCGAAATGCAAACTATGTAGAAAGCAAACGGTAAATTTGCTTTTGTAGGTCCAAACAGTGGCTGCCGATAGTCTTGTTGAAAAAAGATTGGAATGAGACGAAAGTGTCCATATTAAGCGGGTTGAATTAAGAGAAAACTGTGTAAGGGCTTTTTTCCCCAGGGACAAAAAATGAGGTGTCTTCAAGCAAAAGTACTATGAGTTTGTCCTCAAGCAAAAGTACCAAGCCATTTGACAAAAATTCACTTTTCATCAAAAAACAACCAAATCTGGCCATTTAACGTCAGTAAAATCAGGTGAAAAAATGGGCAAAAGATGATTTTTCGGTTTTTTGATTAAAGAGGGGTTCGACTACACTGTTGCCTTGTCCTACAAACTGCTGCTCAGTAGACCTTTACGCGGCTCGGATGATCACTGGACATATAATGACGGTCCATTCTAGGAGAAGAGACGTAAAAATACTGTCCTCAATTAGTACAAGCGTGCTATACACATTATTTTACACTTGAACTTGAATGAAGTACTGGTAAGTTTAACGCCAACACATGATGGTCTCATTAACAACGATAAATTTGAAGAAAGAAAGCATTCTTCATATTTGATTATCCTTTAATGCATTTTCAACAAAACGGTATACAATTCTGTAAATGTATATGTTATAATTTAACAGACCTGAATATCCTGATAAAAAAAAAAAATGGTACTTGAGCTGAGGGCGCGGGAAAAATACTTCCAAAAATACACAAGCTAACAACTAGCAACTGCTGGAAAGAAAATGAAAAGGGGTACAACATACAAAACAATTTTGATACCAAAAAATTGAACAACCTTATTAAACTACCCCTGATCGGCAATTAAATGAGACTATACGATATATTTGAAAAAGGATTACAAAATATATTTACAATTTGAATGTCACTTCAGCCATTATTACAGTTATTATTACAGCCACGATTTTATAATTTATTGCTACATTCACAGAAAAGACAAACTACGCGTGAGGACAACCTAACTCCCCCCACCCGGCAACAGAGACAAATACCTCACGAATTCAGGACGTTGTTCGAAAAGTTACGATTTCTTTTTCTATTTAAAGAAGCCAATTTGAACGTTTCAACAATAATACCACTGGAAAGATCATATTATAACTGGTCAAAAACCTGGATTTGGTTGTTCTCCTTATCACACACAACTATCCTTCCATCACTAAGAGGTGCTGTAGACACTGGCCACTTAAACTCTCCTCTCCCGCTACCTTCACATCCAAACTTTGTAACTTCCACTCAGATCAAGTACCTGAACTCTGTGATTCTCTTCATCACAGACCATAAGCAATCCTTCTTTGTTAACTGACAAGTAACGGGGCTCATTGAATTCTCCATCTTTGATTCCCTGTTTTCCAAATTTAGTAATAAACCTTCCCTCCAGATTAAACATTTTAATGGAATGATCACTACGATCTGAGACTATAAAATATTGACTGTGTTGAATACAGTGATAGGGAGTGACCAAAGAACCTGCTCCACCAAATTTACGTAAATACTCCCCACTAGAAGAGAATATCTTGATTAATTTGTTACCTTTATCAGCAACAATAATATTACCGCTGCCGTTTATTGATAAACCTCGAGGGAATTCAAGCTGATTATCACGACTTCCTTGTTTACCAAACATACTAAGAAAGTTGCCATTCCTATCAAAGACTTGCACCCTGTGATTATAACAGTCTGCCACTACAATATTGCCATGACTATCAAAAGCGATCCCTGTAGGGCAATAGAGCTCACCATTATTCTTACCCTTCCTACCAAAGGATCTTAAGTGGGTACCGTCGCTACTAAACACTGAAACCCTGTTATTACCGAGCTCAGTCACAGCAATTTCATCCTGATCATTCACTGCCACCCCATAGGGAACGTTAAGCATTCCAAGAGACTCACCTTTTTGTCCAAATGACAGCACAGATCTGAAGCGCCTGGTTTTTACCTGAGCCTTAAAAGGACTTTCACAAAAATTTGCCCCTTTATCCCCAGCAACTACTTTATTACTTTTACCTTTAGTTACTGATCCTGATTGTTGCGCTTTAGTTTCGCTAAAAACAAACTCTACTTTACCTATCCCCTCGCTCATGCTCAACAGGTTAATCAGTTTTTCACTTTTAGTGAAACTAAACCAAGGAATACAGTTTTCTTTGGTGCTCTGTTCCTGCAGGATTGAATCAAATGTTTCAGTGAATCCCTTGATTTCAGAACTAAAACCTCGTTTTAACAGAGTTTCAGTTTGTTCAATCGCTGATTCAATTAATTTCACTTGTTTTTCCACTTCGCCTTTTTTCTGTAAGAGAGATTCCAGTGATTTTGTCGCTTGATTATCAATCACATTAAAAACATCTTGTTTTTTCGCTTCGATGATTGCAATAATTTGGTCTACACAAGACTGCACTTGGCTTTTTACCTCGGCTACTTTCGATTGAAATGCGATGCTTTTGTGGTTGAATTGTTCGACTCCCTTTTGTTTTTCCAGTACTTTGTCTTTTAAAGATTTTATCATGGAGCTAATCTGTGTTTTGCGCTCATCAGAAGCTTCTTGCAAAGGCATCTTACCATGACCTTCATGAAGTGTTACAGCACAAGTGCTACAAATGGCGACTTTACAGCCTTTGCAAAAGAATTTCAGCTCTTCTTTTTCATGGTGTTTCTTCTGACAAAATGCTGGTCGCTCTAATACAGCCTTGATGTCTTGATCTTGAAAATCTTTTAGTGCTAGCGTTCTGTGTTTATTGTTAGCACGCATTATGTCATGTCCTAAAATGCATTTCTCGCACCAGAAAGAACAACACTGGAAGCAATAGGAGGTCTGAGAACTCCTTTTATCGCAGTTTCCACACTTCACGTTAGCTGTACTACACTCTTTTATTGCCAAGACATCTAGCAGGCTGTTTATTCGAAAATTGGTGGGAAGTTCGCTGGGATTTCCACTTCCAGAAATCTGAAACTGTCTTCTGCACTCGGGGCATGTAATTTTGCCATGGACGCCGCTTGTTCGTTGAATTTCGTTCAAGCAGTGAAGACAGAAATTGTGCAAACAAGGCAACTGCTTTGGATCAGTGAATGTACACATACACACGGAACAGGATACTTCATCATGAAGATTGTCGAGCAAGGTCTTTATGTCCATGGAAAAGGTCGGAAGCAAGGGGTACTTTTTTAAAATTTTGGCCTCTAGTTGTTGGCGATCAAGAAACTTCAAGAGAATGGCTTTGCAAATGAACAATGAAGTCTTGTTTTGTGACCCAGACTAAACACTGTATTATTAACCAATCAAATAGAGTTTTTTGACATGTTTTGGTGGTTTGACTGAAGAATAAAAATCATCAAATGTATTTCCGAGAATTGTTAATCAGCTCTTTGAAGCATGGATAAATTGCCGGCAAGCATATGTTCCGCGCGAGATGGTCAAGAAAGTCGAAAGTACGAATGAAGGAGCTTTATCCCTAAATCCCGCCAAAACGCGTCATTTCCTCATCTTTTATTTAACAGGAGAGAGAACGGATTAATTTTCCGTCTATTTTGTCCAAGAATGTGGTCGTTAATCTGCGTGTTTCCAGCAAATACATTAATTAAGCAACCTTCGGCCAAGTCATCCCTGATATATACTGTCCAACAAAATGCTCCAGAAAAAATGGCAGTTGCAGAAAATTTTTACTATTAAATCTTTAGTTTCTGTGGGCCTTTGGGCCATGCAAGCTTAGACTTCCAACCACAGAGGGGTTGAAGGTGCAGTGAAGTATATCAGGGACTGTTTTTCCTTAAGACCAAGGTGTGTTAACTTATAGAGTATAATTCAGCGTGCAGGTACCTTGAAGGTCATGTTAAGATGCCTTTGCAAGAAGCTACCGACGTACGCAAAAAAAAAGATCAGCTCCGTGATAAAATCTTTGAAAGACAAAGTACTGGAAAAACAAAAGGAAGTCGAATAATTCAACCAAAAAAGCATCGCAATTTCAATCCAAAGACCGAGGTAAAATGCCAAGTGCAGTGTTGTGTAGACAAAATTATTGTGATCATAGAAGCGAGAAAACAAGATGTTTTTGATGCAGTCGGTAATCAATCGACAAAATCACTGGAATCTCTCTCACAGAAAAAAGACGACGTAGAAAAACTGAAACTCTGTTGAAACGAAGTTTAGTACTGAAATCCTTGGATTCAGTGAAACATTGGATTCAATCCTGCAGGAACAGCACCAAAGAAAACCGTGACACTGAATGTATTCTTCGGTTTAGTTTCACTAAAAGTGAAGAACTGATTTAACCTTCTGAGCATGAGCGAGGGGATAGGTAAAGTAGAATTTGTTTTTAGCGAAAGTAAAGTGCAACAATCAGCATCTGAATTGTCCGTAGTTGTCATTTTTTACGGAAACTTCGGTGAAGTGCTCTCTTTCGAATAATCTTTTTTACAAATTTAAATTAGTACTATTATGGTACGAGTCAAGAATTAAGATGTTTTATTCTTATTTGTTTTTATCAAGTGCGTGCAGCAGGGCCGGCTGCAACGGAGACTAAAACAGACTGGTCGTGCACGTTTTGATCAGCGTGCTTTCATTGCTTAACGTATAACTTTTTTTTACTTGTTTTTGTTTGTTTTGTTTTGTTTTTTTACTTTATTAACTTTTCTAATTTCTTGTGAGTTTAAACACGCTTGTATTTTGGGTTTCTTCCCTCTACCTTCCTTGTAATTTAATTTTTTTCGTTTTTCCGTTTTTCTTTCTTTCTTCTTAGTCTCATTTTTTTTTTGCAATTTGTCTTCTCGTTTCTAGTCTGGTCCAATAAAGGCCTACAAAAATTTTTAAATAAGATCCCGGCTCTTCGCAGCCTTGTATTTTAACACAAAAAGTAAAAGTGCGCAAATTAGTTTTCATCTGCTTACCCTATTGTTGCTAACAATATGTGTTGCACTGGTCTTTTCAAATCTTTCGCCAAATCTCCGTCATAACTAAAAACCAGTAAGAATGGTTAAAAAATTGTCCTGTTTTATAGATCAAAACTTATGATAGTATAGCGCAGCGGATAAAAACCGCGGGAAAAATTGTAAAAGCGGTGGCTATGCTGCGTTTCTTTGCAGTTCTGAATTCACATTCAAGGTGAATAGTGGATGAAAACTGGTCACCATTAGAAACGGTAAACAGAAGACGAATTTACCGTGGTAGCTGTACCATGGTTTGGTACAGAAACATGTACATTTTTCATTCTGCTGGCCAAGTTTCAAGCGAGAAATTTTCTCTTCAAATGCCTTCCTAAAGAAACACTAATTCACAATGCGAGGCTGATTCCAATTTGGAATAAATCCGCTGAATTCAAGCTGAGTGCGGATTCAAAACATTGTGAATCCTATTTTGGTAGGAAACACAGAAACGTGTGGTTCCGTAAGCTGCCGTCTAAGGCGATACACGTTTTCCCAGCTCAATTTTTATTAAATTAGACAAAAAGGTATTTCAAAGGATACGCAATAATATATCTTTTGAGTTTCGCATGATCTTCAAGGTCTTTCGAGAAGTAAATTGTCAGTCCATGTCCATGTGTTTCAAGCGCTGTAAAAAAATATCCAAAAAATAGCAAAAGGATTTCAAATATTCCAATTCGGTCAGCTTGTCAAATACATGAGACCATTTTCATTGAACTTTTTGCCAGGCCAGACTTGAATTTGTAGGAATGTAAATGAATTCAGAGCAAACCTTCTTCTTAGGCGATCCTTCTTCAGCAGTGTCCAACGCTTTTCTTTCTGTGGCTCATCATTTACTTTCTTCCTGTGGTTCACCTCTGATTTAGAGTCATTGTCCTCGTCAAAGTCATTAATATCATCATCATTACTTCTATTCTCATCATCATCATTGTAGTCATGTGGTCATCGTCTTTCACATCTCCTGCAGTATCTTCAACAAAAAATAATGGTCGCATATAATAATATAGTGTCCTTACCTTTCGAAGTGTTTGATTTGAAATAGGCTGTAACTACTTGTTCATTTCCTTTGTAGCTAAGTAATGTTTGTCTAACAGTCTAAATTAGTGTCAAAAGTTAATGTCATTTCGTTGGCTGGAAAATACGGTAAAAAAAAAAACTGCCGGCTTAACCTGTTAATTGTGTAGCTCTATAAGTTGCAAACTGGTCCAAACTCACAATTAAAGAGGAACTCATGAGAAGGAAGAGTAGACAAGGTCAACCCAATAACTCCTCGATGTCTGATGAAACGTTGCTCTCAGCTGGTGCCGACAGTTTTCTGGCCAACATTCACGCACTCAAAAAAAAACCAGTGCGCTCCAAACTTTGTTTTCGTTTCCGTTGCCTGTGTACTGACTCATACGTAATACGGTACACAAAATTTGCCGATCTCTTCGAACAAAGCGGTTCCACAAAGGTTCACATTTAGGTAAGTTTCTTTTCTTTACTTAACTGGTCATGTATAGAAAAAGCCACTCACTGTTAGATGCTTTTGAGTTCTTGAATAAAACCTGCGGAAAATATAACAATAATTGAATGAAAAAAGAAAAAAAGCGTAATGACATAGCTCAGCAAGAGTTCGAATCCAGTTCTTTTTAATACAGCTCAGAATCTGATTTCGCACGCGGCGAACTACTTTATGAGGTGACACATGGCGTACAGCGCAGGCGCATTTTTCCAACAAGTGAGCCGCACTAAGTAATGTAGCTGCCTGTGTGTGATTGTGAAAGCAAACTAACAGCTCATTAAAATGGACATCTGAAGATGTCCCCTCTCCTCACTTTCTACAAGGCGGACGCTTTTCTGGGGTAACAGTAATAACCGGTCCAACGGTCGTCTCAAAGAGTTATAATGAGTGTAACACTATTAAACAGACGAAATTCTAGTACGCGCTCCCTGAAAACACCTGTAGTGTCCTAATTTGGTCAATTTGACTTCACGCGTGAGGAGTGTGGGACGGTACAGAAACCAATTAAACTCTGGGACAGTTTTGGGGACCGATCGCCCTGTTGCATGGTTGCGCAGGAAACCGGGTGAAAATTCACCATCCCCACCCCGCTCCGCAAACCGTCCAACAGTGATATTAGACACAGTACCGACCTAGTTTATGCCTTAAAAGATCTTAAAGGGTCAATGTGTGGAACATTATCCAGGATACTTCGGGGAATTAACCTTGTTTAGCTCACCCTAAGATGGGGCAAATCATTAGCAGTTTTCCGCCAGTTCTTATCATCTCTTATCCTTGTCACCCGTGGGAACCTGATTGATATTCCATCAGTTGTGTAAGTGTTTACTGAACTCTGCTCCTGTTACTCTCCCATACTGGGCTTTCTGCAGAAACAAAATACAAGTCAGAATGTACATTTTCGTCCGACGGGAGGGCTTTCCAATGGCTCAGCCTTCCTGAGAGGGAATTTTTGGCGCCAGCGACCGCGCTCCTCGCTCTCAATGAAGGGAATGGAACTCTAGCGCGAATTTCTACCAGCTTCTGATGATAATAAAAGAAGGCAAAGCAAGATCAATATGTGACGGCAATTTTGCTCAGACAGAGTCGCAAATTTCTTATTTAGGACAAGTTGTGACCAGTAGCGTTCCATTGTTAAGGAAGTGATGTTCCTATTTGAGCATTTTATCTGATGGAAGAAGGTCACCGTGTTTTTCTTTGAGTTGTTTAAGTGCATTTCAATGTCAATTCGCTACGTTGTATTCCTTTGCAACACCCTATTTAAACTCGAAAGTGTTAATTCTTATTTTGGAATGAAAAAACTTTCTTTATAAACCTGATAGTAGTTGATAGTTATCCGGTAATTAAGCTTGTACCTTTGGATCTGCGATAACGAAGTCTAGAACTAAACCAACTGCGATGAACACTCAGCCATGATGGAACCTTGGAGGGGTCCTGCACAAAATCACACATCATTCTTTAAATTCATTACATCTCGTCTGTTTTGATTACCAACCCATTGGACGCCCAAAGCCTATGGTAAACGATAACCGATTAGACTCTCCAAGAACTAAATGGACACCCTAAAATCCGGGGGCGCTCCCATATAAAAGTGGCGGAGATGTTCGTCGGAGAATTCAAATTAAACCCTTAAAAACGACTCGAAGTAATCGTCTGAATTCAGGCTACCCTTATCCCTGACCAATGTCGGTGTGGCTCAAGCTTACACTAACCCCGGCCCTAAGGGAGATTTCTGTATGGTCAGTGTCAGGGCATGTTTTGTAAATTTCTTTACGCACAGTACTAAGCGATACCTGAATGGGCAGATATAGTGACTTTACATCCTGAACACCCTAAGTGAGACCAAAAACTGCAATTTACACCTCAAAGCGCCGAGTCGACGATTGATCGAGGAACATTCCCGTCACTTTTATATGGGAGTCCGCCGGGCCCTCAAAGAAGAGTTGAGGAGAGAAGTTATCGTTGCTCAACGATGCCATAGGGTTTACCTGTGTGAAGATTAGAAAAAGTGGATGGACAGGGAGAAGGGGAAGGGATTATGGGGGGGATTAAGGAGACTCCTCTTATGAGGAACCCTATTTTGCTAAACAGATACCGTAAATCCTCTATTAAGCTTCCCGGGGGGAGGCTTATTTATTAAAAGCCTATTTGAGGGGATGGATTAACAGAGACAGGGGGCTTATTTGAGAGGGGGGAAGCTTATTTAATTTAGAAAAGACGATGGTATCAGTTCTCCATTAAGAACTAGAATACAAAGTAGAGCAGCTCAAGAACAAGAAGGTTGGAGGTCATGCAGCCAACTTCCAGTTGGTAATAAAAAGAAGTTAAACTCACAGCTGAACTCAGACTGTCCAACCGTTTGAGTATGTAAAATCGGGATATTTTTTAAATAATATACGAATCACAGCGTCGAGGGTGCGAGTCCTTAGCGGGGTCTGGAAGCATGCTACCCCAGAAAATTTTGAAATTTTAATGCTCTGAAACGCTATTCTTGTGTTCTTAGCGGGCGATTTCTTTCGCTAAATTGATTGTTTTTTTCCCTTTTTTTATTTGCGTGTTTTTACATACAAGTACTCGATTTTGTTTTATATTCTAGGTTGTATATTTAAGTTTTTTGGGTATCAGTTTCAATTAAATACACTCTGTTAGGTGCTCCTGTGCATGTGTATTTATCAAAACAGATTTCAAAATCGTGATTGTTCTTATTCCATCGCATATTGGTCGGGATTCGGGATTTTCAAACAAAATCGGGAGAAGCCCGACGAGATCAGGATGGTTGGACAGTCTGTAAACAGTCATTATTATTTAATACAGTCTATCATTTATTAGTGAAGAATAATAAGGGGGAGGCGAGACTTAAATGAGAAGGGGGGGCCTCTTAACTTTCATCCTCAAAAAGGGGGGGGGGTTATTTGAGAGGGAGGACTTAATAGAGGATTTAAGGTAAATAAGATAAGGTCAAGAGGAGTGGAGAGGAGAGAAGAGGAGAGGGGAGGAGATCTGTTCCCATGTCCTACCTCTCCCATCCCCTTCATGCGCATTCTACGCAGGTTACACTTAGGTTCAGCGCGTAGTACATGAACTGAACTGAAGCGTCTATGGTAGGTTTCTACCTTAAAACGAAAAGATAAGCTCACCCTGTAGAGCGTTTGACTGTAGGATGGTGAGGTGCAGGAGGCCGGACCAATACTGAGGGTCCTAAAATAACTAAGGAGGAGGGTACAGTCAAACCCCATTACTACAGACACTGACGGGGCATAGAAAGTGTCCTTATTAAGAGGGTTGAATCAAGAGACAATGTAAGGGCATTTTTTCCCACGGACAAATATTGAGGTATGTGTATTAAGCGGGATTTGACTGTCCTGTCTTGTCCCGTAAACTTCTCAGTAGACCAATACTTGGCTCCGCTGCAGATCATTGGACATAGAAATGGTGGTCCATTCACTCTCCGAATAGGGAGGTAAAAATAGTGTCCTCAATATAGTACTCTGGTGCTAAATACATTTACACTTGAATGAAGGAAACTGGTACGTTTAACTCCAACACATGACGGTCTCATTGACAGCGATAAATTTGAAGAAAAAAAAAACATTCTTTATATTTGATTGTCCTTTAATGACGCTTTAATGCGTTTTCAACAAATCGTTATTATACAATCTGTTTAATATATGTTATAACTAAAGGACCTGAAGAACCTGTTGAGAAAAAAAATGGTACTTGAGCTAACGGCTCGGGAATAATATTTCCAAAAATACACCAGCTAACAACTAGCAACTGCTGGAAAGAAAATGAAAGGGTGTACAACATAAAAAGAGCAATTTTGATACTTAAAAAGTGAACAACCTTATTAAACTACCCCTGATCGGCAATTAAATGAGACCACGATATATTTGAAAAAGTCAGGAGAAAGGATTACAAAATATATTTACAATTTGAATGTCACTTCGACTATTATTACAGTTATTATTGCAGCCACGATTATATAATTTATTGTTACATTCACAGAAAAGACAAACTACGCGTGAGGACAACCTAATGCCCCCACCCGGCGTATTAAACTACAATCGGCAATTAAATGAGACTACAATACATTTGAAAAAAAGGTTACAAAATATATTTACAGGTTGAGTGTCATTTCAGCAGTTATTACAGCCCCCGGGGGGGGGGGGGTACTGCCGTATTACAGCCACGATTTTATAATTTATTGTTACGTTCACAGAAAAGACAAACTGTTTGTGAGGGTAACCTAATGCCCCCCACGACAAATACAAAAGGTCAACAGTGGCAAATACCTCACAAGATGGTGTTGTTCGAAAAATTAAGGATTCATATTCTTGATAAGCAATTTGAACTTTTCAACAATAATACCACTGGTAAGATCATATTATATCTCGTCAAACACTTGGATTCGGTTGTTACTCATTTCACACACAACTATCCTTCCATCGCTAAGATTTGCTAAAGACCTTGGAAACTTTAACTCTCCTCTCTCACTACCTTTACTTCCAAACTTTGTAACAAACTTTCCACTCAGTTCAAATACCTGAACTCTGTGATTTTGTGAATCACAGACCATTAGCAATCCTTCTTTGTTAACTGACAAGTAACCGGGCTTATTGAACTGTCCATCCTTGTTTCCCTGTTTTCCAAATTTAGAAATAAACTTTCCCTCAAGATCAAACATTTTAATGGAATGATCACCCGCATCTGAGACTATAAAATATTGACCGTGTTGGATACAGTGATGGGGAGTGACCAAAGAACCTGCGCCACCAAATTTACGTAAATAGTTGTGACTAGAGGAGAATATCTTGATTAATTGGTTACCTTTATCAGCAACAATAATATCACCGTTACCGTTTATTGATAAACCTGAAGGGTTACTAAGCTGATGATCACGACTTCCTTGTTCACCAAACTTACTAAGAAAGTTACCATTCCTATGAAAGACTTGCACCCCGTGGTTAAAAGAGTCTGCCACTACAATATTGCCATGACTATCAAAAGCGATCCCTGAAGGGTAATGAAACTCACCATTATTCTTTATACCGTATCTACCGAACGATCTCAAGTAGGTACCGTCACTACCAAACACTGAAACCCTGTGGTTACCCCACTCAGTCACAGCAATTTCATCCTGAGCATTCACTGCCACCCCATAGGGAACGCTAAGCTTTCCAAGAGACTTACCGTATGGTCCAAATGACAGCACAGATCTGAAGCGCCTGGTTTGTACCTGAGTCTCAAGAGGACCGTGGCTGTCACGAACATTTGCCCCTTTATTCCCAGCAATTACTTTACTACTTTCTTTACCTTTAGTTCCCGATTGTTGCGATTTAGGTTCGTTAACTACAAATTCTACATTACCTATCCCCTCGCTCATGTTCAAAAGGCTAATCAGTTTTTCACTTTTAGTAAAACTAAATCGAGGAATACATTCAGTGTCACGGTTTTCTTGACTGCTCTGTTCCCGCAGGATTGTATCAAATGTTTCACTGAATCCAAGGATTTCAGTACTAAAGCTTTGTTTCAACAGAGTTTCAGTTTGTTCAATTGCTGATTCAATTAATTTCACTTGTTTGTCGACTTCGTCTTTTTTCTGTGACAGAGATTCCAGTGATTTTTTCGCTTGATTATCAATCACATCAAAAACATCCTGCTTCCTCGCTTCGATGATTGCAATAATTTGGTCTACAAAGGACTGCACTTGACTTTTTACGTCGGCTACTTGCGATTGAAGTTCGATGCTCTTTTGGTTCATTTTTTCTACTTTCTTTCGTTTTTCCAGTGCTTTGTCTTTCAAAGATTTAATAGTGGATTTGATCTGTGTCTTGCGGGCATCTGTAGCTTCTTGCAAAAGCATCTTACCATGACCTTCATGAAGTGTCATGGCACAAGCACTACAAATGGCGACTTTACAGTCCTTGCAAAAGAGCTCCAGCTCTTTGTTTTCATGGTGTTTCTTCTGACAAAATGCTGGTCGCTCTAAAACAGCTTTGATGTCTTGATCTTGAAAATCTTTCAACGCTAGAGTTCTGTGGTCTTTATTTTCTCGCATTATGTTATGTCCTACAATACATTCTTCACACCAGAAGGAACAACACTGGAAACAATACGAGGTATGGGAGCTCCGTTTCTCGCAGTTTCTGCATCTCACGTTGACTGTACTGCACTCTTTTATTGCTAAGACATCTAGCAAGCTGTTTATTCGAAAATTAGTGGGAAGTTCGCTGGGATTTCCACTTCCAGAAATCTGAAACTGTCTCCTGCACTCAGGGCACGTAATTTTACCACGGACGCCGCTCGTTCGTTGAATGCCGTTCAGGCAGTGAAGACAGAAACTGTGCAAACAAGGCAACTGCTTTGGATCAGTGAATGGACACATGCACACAGAGCAGGATACTTCATCATGAAGATTGTCCAACAAGGTCTTTATATCCATGGACAAGTTCGGAATCAAGGTTACTTTTTAAATATTTTGGCCGATCGATGGAATGGCTTTGCTAATGAACAATGAATTCTTGCATGTCTTGTGACCCAGACTAAACTCTGTATTATTAGCCAATCACATAGAGTTTCTTGGCGTGTTTTAACGGTTTGATGGAAGAATAAAAAAATAGCAACATCCTGTATTTCCGAGAATTGTTAATCAGCTCTCTGAAGCATGGGTAACTTGTCGGCAGGAGATTCCGCGCGAAAGTTGGGGAGAGAAAAAACGAGGAATGAAGGGGCTTTCTCTCCCTAATTCGTTCGGAAAAGTTTGTTAGGCAGGTTAAAGCATAGCCTCCCCCGCAGGCGTTTTTAGGGGAGATCGTATTTCTCCCCTCCCCACGAACTGGAAACAAACTCCCCACAAAATCGGAAAATCAAAAATTGACATCGATTTTCAATTTTTAATTTTGAATTGAAAATTAAATGGACGAATGACCCACGGACCACGGACCCCACCTCAGTCCCTTCCCGTCTTCCCTCCCCTCCCCTACTAGACACTTCCGCACTTGGGTCCTCCCCTCTTGGTACTTTCGTCACTTAGAGCGTGACCGATTGACTGACCAATTCTTCGTCCAAAAACAAAAATTGAAAATTGATCGCAACATTCAATTTTTAATTTTCTTTCCTTAATTCACGTCATAGTAGTTGACAGATGACTGCGGAAACGGTTTTCCCGCGAATAGCGAAAATATCTATGGTTCGACAACCGTTTTAATATTGATTGTAGAAAGTAAGAGCTGTATGTTTATTTTCTCATTTTTGTTTACAGGGGAAAACGGTAAAACAATTATGAAACCTGTTTATCCATTATGCAGGAAGAAAAAAATTGGGAAATCAAAAATTGACATCGATTTTCAATTTTTAATTTTGAATTGAAAATTAAATGGACGAATGACCCACGGACCTTATCACCTAAAAAGCCTTGTTTCCAATGTCAAAAAGAAAGAACAGAGTCTAGATCTACTCCCGAAATTTCGTATTTGCCATGCATAATACATCTTGTTCACCGTCCAAATTTTGCATAACAATTGTTTTCAACTTCTCCTTGATGGGCTCCTGCTCCTGGGTATTACAATCATTCAAATTGAATATGAAAACAATGGTAATGCAAAATATAGGGGGTGGAAAGGGTGGGGCGGGGGGTGTAGGAGGGTAATCAAGGTGAATTCAAGTGGGCAATACCTTATTATAGGAAATTAACGTTCCATGAAATTAAGGTATTGGAAATTAACGCAACTTAAATTAACGCGAATTTAATGGAAAACGACTTTCGAATGAAGAAAATTAACGCGAAAGCGGAGGTAGAATTTCATAATATAGGAAATTAACGCGATTAAGACACGGTTGGTGGTGACAACTGGAAGCAAATGTAACAAATATTGTAAACTTTCGCCTTAGCGTTTGTAAAAGATGAAAAATAAAGGGTAGATGGAAAGAAAGAAAGCTTGTAGGTAATGTTTTTTAGGTGTCAAGAATGTTTGGACAGGTTCCAAAATTGGGGTTAAAATACTGGAAATTAAGAGCGCGGAAATTAGCGCTGCACTTAATTAACGTTGCGGAAATTAACGCTCAACAAAATTAACGCGACTTAAACTAACGCGAATTTTAACGATTCGCGCTAATTTCATAGAGCGTTAATTTCCTACAATAAGGTAAATGTGAAAGTAGCGAATAGAAACAGACTGGTGGTGTAATGTTTTGGTCAGCGTGCTTTCATTATATATAACTTTTTTCGTCGCTTTTTTTTGTTTTGTTTTGACTTTTTTAACCTTTCTAATTACTTGTGAGTTTAAACACGTTTGCAGTTTAGGTTTCTTCCCTCTTCCTTCTTGAAAATTTTTTCTTCCCTTTTTCTTTCTTTCTTTCTTTCGTTTTTAGTCTCATTTTGGTTTTGAAATTTGTCTTCCGTTTCTAGTCCTTCAACAATTTGTAAATAAAAAACTCTTCGCAGCCTTGTATTTTACCACGAAAAGTAAAAGTGCGCAAAATTATTTTTCATCTTCTTACCCTATTGCTGCTTACAATATGTGTTGCAGTAGACTTTTCAAATTCCTCCGCCAAATCTCCGTCATAACTATCCAGTCATGTTATTAAGAATGGTTTTAAAAACATTGTCCTGTTATATAGCTATAGATCAAAGCTTATGATAGTATAGCGTAGCAGATAAAAAGCCCGGGAATAATTGCAATAGTGCTGCTTATGCTGCGTTTCTTTGCAAATATTCTGGATCCAGATTTAAGGTAATTGATGTTGAAAACTGGTCACCGTTAGAAACAGCAAAACCGAAGACGGATTCATGGCGAACAATTTGGTACAGTCAGCGGTTCTATGCGTAGGCTCACACTATATATCATTAATAAATCTAGTAAAAACATTAGAAATTACCACAAAGCAACTAAAAAATACAATTTTACACATACTCATATAAAAACAAATTCAAAAGAAGACAATAACTCAAGTTTTCTTTTTCTTTTGCACAATTAACAGCCGTAATGTCACATCACTTTGTCACGCGAAGTCACACAATGCGAAGAAATAGCGACTCGTTCCAAGCTTCTTGTCAAGCTGTACAGCGGACTTTCAAGTGAAATTCAAACCGTTTATGTAAGAGTAACATAAACGGAACACTTTCAACAGCGTGGCCGATGTTTACTACGGGAATAAGATTTATAAACCTTTCATTTTGTCGGTATCTCCACATGTCACAAGAAGACTTCTGTCAACCTATTTTTTTCGTATTTTACATTAGCTGGGAACAGCGAAGGAAGGCTTATGGACCTCATTTATAAGCTTAAAACGACCTTTGTTACCTGCACAATCGAACTGGATTCGTGGACTTCAAACAGAAGCAACTTGTGTTTTGATTTTGCCGTTCTGCAGGAGGACCTCGGCCCAGTTTTGAAAAGACTTATGGCGGATTTCCTCGAAATAGAACAAATTTTACACCACGTTGGGAATCTTCTGTAGGGGATTTTGCATTCTGCTGGCCAGATTTCAAGCGGGAATTTCTCTCTTCAAATCGCCCCCTAAAGAAACACTGATTCATAATGCGAGGCTGATTCCAGTTTGGAATAAATCCGCTGAATTCAAGCTGAGTGCGGATTCAAAACATTGGGAATCCTATTTTGGATACGAAACACAGAAGTGTATGAGATATGTCCAAGTTTGCAAGCGGGAGCAAAAATTGCGAAAAATTGGAGCGATCGTAGTTTTGGTTAAAATTACTAAATCCAAGTGGCAAAGGACAGGGCGTAACACATCGATAATTCCGATACTCGATCAAAATCGATAAACATCGATAAACATCGATACTAATCAATTGATTAATATCGGAAATCGATAAAAATCGATCGCCAGATTCTTTGTGATTATCGATTTGATCGACGCTGTGAAACACTGTAAGACATGAACATATATATTCTTCTCGCGGGTATCGAAACGAAGCAACCTCGTCCCCAGGGCTTTTCCCTTAAAAAATGGGTGGGGCGGGAAAAGGCCCTGGCATCGGCTGGTCACGTGTCCCCTCGTACACCCTAAAATCCTGGGTGTAATAAATTAGCGCTATGTGAAAAGCTAAAATTATGCGTAACCTCACAGCGCGCGATCTTGGGCGGCCTTTTATATCTCTTGACGAGTAACGAAAAGTTTTACAAGATTTCTTTTTTGTCACAGATACTGGCTATGGTAATTTTTTGCTTTCCTCCGATTTCTATGAAGGAGACAGCGAGCGGTAACATTTGTAAAACTTCCTTTATAGAGCGATATAAATGACAAACAAGCTATCGTACATGCATAAAGTTTGTACTGGCATGGAAAAGTCCGTTTTCGCGACTCTTTTGATATTTTATTTATTTATTGCGAAGTGGACCGCCGTACACAACCTAGTTCTATTCGCTTTGACTCTCAGCCATATCATAGTGACGCGCGTTGGTTTAGACTTATCTAGTATGACCTGTATTTTTAAAAAATTCATTGACCTCTGCGAGACTTGACCGAAACCGGAAACCGCGCATGAAAAGTTTCTGGCACCCAGGGTATCAAATGACTGGTAACAAAGAAAGACTTGGGTCCATTTAAAATTGACAGAGCTGTAGTTGATTCCAATCGATCGGTCAATCTTCCCTTTGATATAAGGAAAATCCTTTGTACTTATCCTCGAAAGAGAAAAGATATAAGCGATCTTAAAATGTTTCAGATCGGCGACCTGTCATCGTTCCTGGCCGGAGGGCTAACTTGCATCCGGCGCGGAGATTTGTTTGTTTCATGGTCGGGTTGTAGAGAAGACCAGACTCCACAAAGCATTTTTAAATTCACTGCAGATCCTAGAGGCAAAGGCCCGCATTTTTGTTTGACATTGGACAAAATCACTTTCTGCTTGATCGTACAGTAATTCCACAGTCACGATGAATTTCAGTCGAAGTACTACTCGATAACAGCTTGTCTCAACTCTGAAGCATTTGACATATTTTGTACGTGACAACGTAGAGCCGGTACGCCCTTTCATAAACCTGTAGCATTTGAATAATACGCAATTAAATGGATCTTAAGCTTAATTTTGAATCGCACAGACGCGAAAATATTGACATACAGTTCGCGATATTATTATTTTCCACTGTTGCTCCGTTCGACTTCTGTCAGTGCAAAACCAGCGGGTTGCATATAAATTAGCTTCTCAGGAATATTTAGGCTGTGCACGTGACCAGCCGATGCCAGGGCCTTTTCCCGCCCCACCCATTTTTTAAGGGAAAAGCCCTGGGGACGAGGTTGGAAACGAAGAAATGATTCACCTTAAAAATTGACGTTAATTACTATCTACATTGTATTTCATATCTTTTAAAACAACAGTAAAACAACAACAGTAACAAAACAACAGTAACAGTAGCAGTAACAGTAACTTCATATCAAACTGATAAAAATGCTGAGAATGGTACAAACGCTGTTCAAAACAGAGTCTTTCACAGTATGCAGGCAGTATGACTGGCGATACGATGGACAATCGGCTGATTCAGTAAGATTGTGTTCAGTGTTGCGTTAGTTCAATATGACAGTTATTAACAATTTTCTCTATGTTGACTTTGGCGTACAAACAGGCAGAAAGAACTTCCATCCACATACGAAAGAACTCAGGAATAACACGCGATAGGCAATACTGATACATGGATGCTAACATCACTAAGCAGATTATGAGCGGTTGTTTTCTCGTGGAATCTTCGAAAATTTCACGAAATCGATAGAAATCGATACCAAATGCTCAAACTTGTGTGATTATCGATTTTGATCGATTAATTTGCTTAATCGATTGATTATTGTCGAGTAATATCGAGTAGTATCGATTTATCGATTAGCTTTCCGATGATCGATTTCGATCGATGTGTTACGCCCTGCAAAGGAGGTAGGAGGATGACCAGCAAAAACTGCGACTTCTGCAATTTCTCAAAAAAATGCGAAAAATTGGAGAAATCGCAGTTTTTGGTAAAATTGCTAAATTGAAGTGGTAAAGGAGGTAGAAAGGTGCCCAGGAAAAACTGCGATTTTTGCAATTTCTGCGATTATTACCATGACAAAGAACTGCGAAAAATCGCAACTAACGTGAAAAATTGTCAGAGTTGCGATTTCTCACTACACACGAAAATATTGCAATTTTTGCTGCTGCGTGCAAACCTGGACATAAGTGAAACGTGTGGTTCCATAAGCTCAATTTTTATTAAATTAGACAAAAAGGTATTCCAAGGACACACAATAATATATCTTTGAGTTTCGTGAAATCTTCAAGGTCTTTCGAGAGGAAAATTGTCAGTCCATGAAAGATGTTTTTCAGCTGCTGTAAAAAAAAAATGGATGTCAAAATACATTCCTTCCATTACAGAAATGGTAGGTTATGATATCGTACCTGACAGTGGCCCATAAGGGACATGAAAACCCAGCTATTTATTTTATGAAATTTGAATGGTAAAAGGTATTATTTTAGGTTTGCGGTTTTATTTTCAATTTTTTCCTTTGTTAAAGTGGTTTTGCTTGACTGAAAAAACTTTTTTCAAGACTCGGGGTTTTTTTCAATAAACTTCAATTTTTTTTAAACCCAGGTTTAAAAAAAACTTAGGTTTTTTCAAAGTCATGTTTTGTTTAAAAAAAAACAGTTTTTTATTGTCTTGAACAATGCGCATGTCATATACCTGCTTACCACAGTTGTTGGCTCAAAGAAAATGAACAAGATGGCGTCGATGATCCAAATGGTTTTATCTGTTTCATTTTATGCCTTTCACGTGGAATGAGCCCTGATAATGCGTTCGTATACAAGTATTCCTTTTGCATCAGGGAATTCTGACCGTAATTCTTCGAGTGAATGTTACTTCAATCTTGGATTGTGGACTACTCAGAAATCCTAAGGCCCGGTTCAGACGCCGTACTTTTCATGAGCCGAACCTAATTCGCATTAAGACCGACCCAAATTATTTGGACCGGCTGAATTGATTCAGACGCCGATCTTAATTCCAGCCGAAGTAAATTCAGGAGGAGAAATATGCTCAATTCGGTCAAACTGTTTAGAAAAACGTTATAATAATTTATGCATTAGGTTAGGTACATGAAAAGTTCGGCGTCTGAATCAAAGCCGTTCCAAAGGCGAAATTCCCGGCCAGGCTAGGCGAAAAGAACGGGTGAGCCGTTCCAAATTGAAACAGGCGTTCCTAATTGATTCAGACGCCGAACTTTTCATGTACTTAATTCAATGTATTTGGTTCGGCTTATGAAAAGTACGACGTCTGAACCGGGCCTAAGCTGGCTGTGATTTTTCTCCTACATAACCCTTTTGAAAAAAGTGTCCTTTTTGAACTAATGAGTGAGGTGTATTCCGTGTACGAGAAGAAGGAAGCTTGGAATTTCAGAGTAGTCCAATCCAAGATTGAAGTAACATTCAATTAAAGAATTACGGTCAGAATTCCCTGATGTCACATGCAGGAATGTACGAGGGCATTATCAGTGTTCGTTCAACGTGAAAGGCATAAAATGAAACAGTAAACAGATAAAACCATTTTGGTTATCAATGCCATCTTGTTCATTTTATTTGAGCCGGTAATCGTGGTCAGCAGGTATGTGACATGCGCACTGTTCGAGACAATAAAAACCTAAGGTTTTGAAAAAAAACCGAGTTTGAAAAAAAACCTGAGTTTTGAAAACATCTGAGTTTTTTATGTTTTTGTCCATCATCATGTGAGTGTTAAAGGTAACATATTCTTGCGTTTTTATCGTAGATTTGGACGTATTGGATTCCTTGCAATGCGTGCCTCCCACTGAGTCCACTGAGGAACATGGAGACGTACAACTGCGTACAAGTTGTCGCAGTGAACGATCCATTTATCAATCTGGATTACAATACATGGTTAGCAATATTTTTATTATTGCTTGTGTAATTCCATTGAGGGATAATTTTATTTTATTGTGACTAACAGAACAGGATTTGTCGGCAGTTTTTTTAAACAACCGGTAAACTAAATCAATATCGTATTGTTCCAATAATGGCGGCCGGTTCCTGATGGGACATGATACCATCTTTTGCGTGAGTTCATACGTAATCCGGTTGGCGCACAAAAAATGAACTGTCAGATCTACGTCTTAATGATTTTCAATTAATATCCGTTATTTTGAGTTTATGGTGGCACTTTAATTTAAAATTTTGTTTCTACCTATCAGCACACGAGTAATATTTTCAGATATTTCTCAGATTTTTAATAGCACTGATCACCACGGTTTTTCCAGACTTTCCATGACAGGTCGTGTAGGTCACAGACTAAAAGCAAATCGAGACCTACTGATTCATGATAAGTTCATTAATTTCTGCTGTTTTGTCAAAAAGGTGTACATGTTTAAGTACGACTCCACTCATGGAAGATTCAAGGGAACTGTTGAGGCAAAAGATGGCAAGCTTGTCATAAATGGCAAATCATTGTCTATGCATTGAGAGACCCAAGCACAATACCATGGAGTGAAAGCGGTGCTGAATATGTTGTTGAGTCAACTGGTGTTTTCACAACGACAGAAAAGGCCAGCGCTCACTTGAAGGGCGGGGCCAAAAAGGTCATCATTTCAGCTCCCTCAGCTGACGCTCCCATGTTTGTGATGGGAGTGAATGAGGACAAGTATGATCCAAAATCTATGACAGTTGTTAGGTATGTTGATGGATTGTGCTTTATAGAAGTTTTTTTTAGTCGTGATGGTCTTGAAGTGAGTAGTATCACTTTTGGTGGGTGGAAGTAGTAATCGCAGTTATTATTCACTGAAAATAAATCTCAGTTTATAATTAGCTCAAACTGCCCGGCTAATTTTTCATAACCAGCCAACTTTGACCAAATTTGCTTGATTTGTTTTTACGCCACATTGCATCGTTTTAATTCATTGATGTTTCAAACTTCATAGATCAAAATAATTCCCATTAATCCATCACCATCCATCCCAATCAAAGATTCTTTTGACTTTTCAATTCTTTGACTGAAGAGCATGATATTGAAATTAAAAATAAACTCAATTATGAAAAAACTATGGTCAAAATTTATTATAACATAGCTAGTAGAATATTCGCCTAATCAAATTCAATAGCACGAGCATGCTATATATTCCCATTGAGCATGCTGATGACGTCAACAAACTATACCATTGAGTTCTTGTGAGCTTAGCAATCCTCCCAAGACGTCTCCTAAGTGCATTGGTAACTCAACAGTACACTATGAAGCGTTAACCATGTGTTTTATAAAGAGAACACTTTTGAATTTGTCAATCAATAGTAGCGAAAAGAGGCGAGTGTTGTTGTTGTTGTTGTTGTTGTTGTCGCCTCCACGAACTGTGAGGGCTGTGGTGTGTGCAAATCAATTTTTTGCACTTGGGAAGTTTGAAGAGCACTCAAGAGGCTCGAGCAACTCTTGCGCTTCTTTCTTGCTCTCCAAACTTCCCCACGCGCTCAATATCTCGACATACGCACGCTGACACATGAACTAATAATATTACTGTTAATTGTTCCAAGGAACACTTGACCAGTTTTAACTTTACCTCGTGCGATCTGTGACATTTTTTTTACCCCTAGCAATGCATCATGCACAACCAACTGCCTTGCTCCTTTAGCCAAAGTCATGAATGACAATTTTGGAATGGAAGAGGGTTTAATGACCACGATCCATGCTTATACTGCCACACAGAAGACTGTTGATGGACCAAGTGGAAAGGTATGTGCCAAGCAAAGCTTCCAAAAAAATCTGTAAAATGAGAGCTACATGTGTTAACCACATCAAAAGAGAACTTTAAAACACCCCATTTTTCTGTAGATAAGTGTAAAAGGTTGGAACACTTATTCACAAGATGCAGTAACATGTTGTGGCAATATGTGATGTTGTGGGGACAAATCACTTTTTGCTTATTTCAAAATTTTTCTGAAAATCTTGTCTCCGCAACAGAATTTTGCCGATGCAAGAAGTCGCACATAATCAAACCAGTGGACACAAAGAGATTTGTTGCTGCAAAGTGTCATGCTACCTGATGCCTGAATTGAACACAAGGAGTGTTTTTTTGGGATGACACGTCACCTAGTGTGTTCAAACTTTGATAAGTTTTCCCCAACCATTTTGCTAACAATCCAGTTTAGATGATTTGGCAAATAAATTCTGGGATATGAACCAAGGGTGGTGTTGAAAAATACATCATGTTTGAACTTTGGGTATTTCCCCTTTTTCTCCATCCCAGAAATGGCGTGATGGCCGCGGAGCTCATCAGAATGTAATTCCAGCATCTACAGGTGCTGCTAAGGCTGTTGGGAAGGTTATCCGTGAAATGAATGGAAAGCTGACTGGTATGGCGTTCCGTGTTCCTGTTCCAGATGTCTCTGTGGTGGATCTTACCTGCAGACTCAAGAAGGGGGTAAGGCGCCGCCTCATTGTATGTTGAACAGCACTGTTGGTTTTATTGTGTTGATGACCTACATGTAGTGTGACACCAGTCAGAGCCTTTTTTTTAAATATTTCATCAGCCCTCAGTGGCCAATTCAAAAAATGAATTACAGTCGAACCTCCATATAATATGTGACCACCTATTAAAAATGTGAGGGTTTTCTCGGTTAAAGCCTTAGAGTTGGACCCTGTCTTAAACGACCACTTCTTGTAAGCAACTGCTACCACTTTTTGGGGATGACAGTTAAATAACTTTCCTTAATTTGTTTTTAACCTTTTTTAAGGGATCACTTGATGTTTGATTTATGTGTTATGCTACTTAAAGTATAAAAAGATCTTCTAGCAACAAATATGACTACACACATCGCAACTTAGAAATTGCATGCTGTGAATTATATTCCATAATGTAGATGTGATCGGACCTCTTCTCAGAAAAGAACCCCTGTGGTTTGATTCTTGTAAGTTATCGACTGTAAGCGACCACCAAATCTGCTCATTTTGGGTGGCCATTTAAGGGAAGTTTGACTGTAATTTTAAATATAGACTGGAAACATAACAAATTTTTGTTCTGAAATATTTTGGCTGAATCACCCAGCCTTCAACAGTTGATTGTACATGGTTTTGTAGCTGTCACAAGACCTTAGAGCAGCCATTTGATGAGAGTGTGGTATTGTAGATGTTTGTTTGCTCCATTTAACTGTTACACCCACAACCAAAATGTTTGAGGTTACATTATAAAATGGTGGTAGCCTATATCCTGCGTTGGAATTAAACATCCTATCTGTCTCACAGTAAACTGAGCAGACACAAAAGGGACCGTGGCAAATCCAAGATGGCCTTTAGTAGCAAATGTCTATAATAAATAAAATAATTTGCACACAATTATCTAGTTGGTGAAAAATATTATTCATAAATTGTCTATGGAATCTGTGATAAAAAATAATGCAATCAAATCTCACACAATGGCCACAAGAAATTGGTCAGTGTAGAGAGGTGGCCATCGTAGAGAGGTTTAAACAAGAGTCAATGTATGGACAGTCTGCCAAAAAAAGTGGCTGTTGTAAAGAGCCGTGGTCATTATAAACAGGTTGGGGCCATAAGTGGAGGTTTCATTGTCTTTGATGCAAAGCCTACATTAACCCCAATATCCACATGCAAATTCTCCAAACTGATCTCTATACATTTCCTTTAAGAATTAGTTGAGAGAATGTGATAAAAGATCATGGCATTTTGTCTTTAATGATCATTTTATTCATTCTCATAACTTGATCTCTTGACAATGTATGGATATTGCTAGGAGAAAATTGATGTTGGTCATTATTGTGACTTAAAGGGTTAATTCAGGCTTACATTGTTAAAAGCAAAGTTAAAACTGAACATTCAAGCCATGCAGTGTTTTGCTTAGTGTTCTTCTGTAGCAACTTTGCACCAATTCCCCGTCGTACTAATTTACAAATAAGTTACATCCCATTTTCTTTTTCATTCATTCTTTCTTTATTTCTTTTCTGTTGTAGGCATCATATGATGAAATTAAGGCAGTGATGAAGAAAGCATCAGAAGATCCAGCACTTAAAAAATACCTTGGATACACTGATGAACAAGTTGTATCCACTGACTTCATTAGCAGCACTTATTCTTCAGTCTTTGATGCTGCAGCTGGAATTTCTCTGAATCCAAATTTTGTGAAGCTTGTAGCCTGGTAAGCAAAAGCATGCACCTTAAAAGTCCTTGAATGTCCTTGAATTTTCAAATAAAAATCCAAGCAAGGCCTTGAAAGAGCTTGAAAATTGCAGTTGGTGCTTTCAATTTTGGTAATAACTTTATCCGACCCAGATTCTCACGTGTTTAAAAGGAACAAACACAGAAAGACCTCCAGGATAAAATTGCTCTTGTTGTGAAAGAATTAAAAAGACTTTAAAAAAGACATAGTTTCAAGGCTTTGTTTGCACTAAATGGGGTCCTTGAAAAATAAAATGTAAAATATGTCCTTGAAAAGTCCTTGAATTTTTTGCTCAAAACAGTACATGACTTGAGTTGGGAGCAGTTGTTGTTGGGGTGGATTGGGTGCTCCTTGCTGGAGTCTTGAGTCAGAGTTGTATGTATACAGCTCTCTCGGGAGCTAACAAATACAGCTGAACTTAATCTGCTATGGCATCGCCAGCAGCAAACACTGTACAACCTCCTTGGTTTTTGAGTGGCGCACCTACTTTGAAGTTGAATGTTGAGTTCTGCAATCTTCAACTTTTGATCCCTAAGATGAATGATTAATAATAAGTGCCTTTTACGGCTTATAAGGGAAGCATAAAGCAGTTGTTTTTAGGTCATCTTTGATTTAACAACCTTTGAACAATCCTTCAATTACTTGATCTAGTTAGAGGGTATGAAGATACTGCAAAATCCTGAATGCATTTTAAATTAATTAATGTGTTATGAAGTGTTTGTATTCATACTGTCTGACCCTCTACTAGTAATAACTTGGTTAAATTATTCATAGGCAAGGTCAGCAAAATCGTTCTCAAAATTTTCTGTCTTTTTTCCCAGGTATGATAATGAATATGGCTACGGCCACCGCGTTGTGGATCTTATCAAGTACCTTGCTGGCAAGGAGTGAACACCTTGTTCCAGGCCCATCGTAATTTAAATTTCTCGAACTACCGTGTTAACGTTAGTTCTGTTTACACCTTTTTCTTTCTTGATTATGATTCTCGAGATTAAATGGAAGTTTTTGTAACCAATTTCTGTGGTCCAAAAGATTTTCTTACACCCTCGTTGTGGCTCCAGTGTTAAAGCATTATTGATCAGCCTCAGCTGACTCATCCCTGTTATTGTGTAAGAAAATCTTTCAGGACAATGGGCAGAGTTGCAGAAAATTTCACTTGATCTTGAGTTGCAGCCGCTAGCTTAGACTTCCAACCACATGTTCAGAGGTTCAAAGCTGCCCTGAAGTAAAACAGGGACTCTTCTTAAGATCAAGGTGCGATTTAGTAGAAAGTTTGTGCCGGTGGCTTTTAAAGTTACTTATATCAGGCCTAAAACATGCACTGTTTGGGCAATACAAAGGTGTCAAAACATGATGTAACTTTAACATTGTGGTGAAATCTTTGCGTTGGGGCCTCATCATCAGTTCAGAAAATGACTGAAATCTGACTTATCATGTGTAGTGTGTTTGTTGTCTGCTGTTGTTCCCTAGGAATAGAAAAAGTGGATTGGAAAAAGAAATCCAAAAAGAGTGGGATTGCTCCCATCCTCTGGCTAACGTTCACTGAGAAGAAATGTGTTGTTGATGTTAAGATAAACTGAGCTGAAATAAAGCAACTTTCACCTGAACCATCAGTTATAATTTCTTTAATGGATGATCTAGTAATACTTTGTCAGCAAAAAAACCTTGGGTACACTTCGGTAATGAACATTTTGCAACAAGTGAGACACAAATGTTAACGTTAAGTTAGGGGAGGGGTATGTGGGCAGTTTCCCAGACCTAAATTGATCCGACATATGCCATCAGCTTACCCCAGGGGTAGGACCCAGGCCGACCATCGGATTGTAAGTTGCAGTGGAACCTCGATATAACGAAGGGCCAAGAGATTGGCAACATGTGTTCGCTGTAACGAAGATTCGTTACATCGAGGTTCTTTTCCATATATTTTACTATTAGAGGGGTAAAGAAAATCGTTCGTTATACTGAGGACTTCGTTATATAGAGGTTCCACTTTATATAAATTTTTCCCACCCTTTTTCCTTTTAACTGAAATATTGTTCTGAATTTTACACTCCCCAGGGGCAGGGAACCCAATTTATTCAATTCCCAGAGATATTCCCCTGGATTGCCCAGGGTATTATCCCTGGGGTAAGCTAATAACATGCACATAAAGTGCTATTTTTTTAATTGATTTATTGTTCCAAAGATATTTTAAAAAAAACATGATCAGTGGTAATTGCTCCCTTGAGCGAATGCCGTAAATCCTCTCTGAATAAGAGAGAGGGGTTAACCAATAGGCGTAAAACGGCCAAAAATTTAGTCGATAGCCTTAAAAACCGTTAGCCGTGAATAGGGTAAAGAGAGTTAACCGTAAAAAAATGTTCCCTAGGTTTGTTAATTTTAAGGAAGGTGAGGTGCTATACTCAGTTATGACAGGCTGCGCGTCTCTTATTTCGCGGCTCTTTGGCTCTGTACCTCGAACGTTAGGCAAAGCACTTTTTCAGGACTCCGGGCGCGCGGTCTCGCGCCCAAATTTCCTTCCCGTTCCCTATCGAACGTCTGCAGTGCTACGCAGGCTATAGCTAGCCTTCCACGCAGACATTCTTTCATAACGAAGCCCTAAGTACCCTGGGTACCAGAGGTTTTTTTCGCGTGCGGTGGGAATTTTCGGGGTTGGCCGAAGGCCGAAGCCACAAGTGGCGAAGCTTTTCGCGCGGGTCACTATAAAGACTTGACAGAAACCGGAAACCGCGCTAGAAAAGTCTCTGGCACCCAGGGTAAGCCCTAAGAGACCCACTATTTGACTTTTGAGGGGAGGAGAGTATGGGTGATTTCAGAAAAAATATATCCCACAGACTGATTTCGAAGGAAAATAATTCTAGGACGGAAACACCTGGGGGAAAAAATTCCTTCACTGAAAAAAACTCTTTCGTGGCGTATAATTCTGGAAAAAAATCTTGCACCTGTAAATGTCAAAAACAAAAAACAAAAACAAAATTCTTACCCTAAACAAATCATCCGTTCCCAGAAACGGTGAGTGATCCAAAAAAAAAAGACGTTTTTCGACGGCTGACGGTTAAATTTGAGGCCATTTGACGGCTTGGCGATTAACCCCATTGAGACCCTCCTACAGTGTATATTCTATACCGGTCTACAAAGAACATCTAGCTGCTCAGGGGCCTGACCCAACGTCAATTTTAGGAAAATATCTGTTCGGAAGACGATTTGAGATCTAGAATTTTCGGAATATTTGTTGTAAAAATTTTTGCTTGCCTAGGATTTCGAACATCTAAAAAATTGTACAATTGCCCATTTTTAACGGATTTTTACCCTAAAAAGGTCACGTAGAATTTTCCGTAGTGTTTTTTCGGGCTGAAATTTCCGAAAAGGTAAGTTTTGATCTCTATAATTTTCGAATCACTAGACTATCAGCTAGCAAATCCGAACAGATGAAAAATGTTCAGGGGATAAAGATATGCCCATGTCTTCTGCGTAAACTACTACAACAACTTTATTGACTTCAAGTTATCAGGCTTCGACATTAAGATTTCAGTAACAAATTAAAATAGTCAATACAATGACAAATGAGACAAAGTAAAATAAAAGTAAGAAAGAAAGAAAGAAAGTAACAACAACTATATATTGAATATTATCATAAAAGAAAAATTACTTGGCTATGTACGACTTCTACGCTACTCGTATGGTAAGAAAGTTTAATTAGAGTTCGGATTTACAACAATTTATAATAATAATAATAATAATATTTAATACTTATTTTGCGCTTTTTCTATAAAAATACTCAAAAGCGCATTACAATATTATTAATAACTGAATTAAAAACCAGTAAAATTACCCGGTAAAATTACAATATTTAAAAATAAATAAATAAATAAATAAATAAATAAATAAATAATCTAACTAAAAGCCTTCTTAAATAAATATGTTTTAACAGAGCGTTTAAAAGAGTCGATTGATGTTTCCTGTCTTATTGGCAGAGGAAGACTGTTCCATAAAAAGGGGGCAGCCATCGATAACGCGCGATCTCCCAAAGTCTTCTTCGTTCTTAACCGAGGTCTTTCTAACAATATACCATTATTGTTACGGCGTAGTTGGTAACGTGAGTCCGGTAAGACAGAGACAACATCCTTAAGATAGCTAGGCGCAACACTGCGAAGAATCTTAAATGTAACAAGGAGAATCTTAAAATCTACGCGCAAGCGCACTGGTAGCCAGTGGAGTTCTCTTAACAAAGGAGTGACGTGACAATACTTAGGTGCGCAGTAAACCAATCGAGCACTGGCATTCATGACTCTTTGAAAGTTTCTTAATTTGATACTCAGGAGCACCGTACAATAAACCATTACAGTAGTCAAGCCTGCTTGTGATGAACGCGTGAACAAGCCTCTCGGTGGACTCACGAGACAAATACTTCCTAATGTGCCGGATATTGTACAAATAATAAAACGCGCTAGCACAAGTCTTAGACACATGAGTCGACATGTCCAGATGAGAATCGAACCAGGTGCCCAAATTGCGCACTGAAGAGGCAGGCGATACCTCAGCTTGGCCGATCTTGATCTTGTCAACAGACACCTTTGATAACTGTCGTTCCGAGCCAATGATCAAGAACTCAGTTTTATCGTCATTTAGCATTAACTTATCATCTCTCATCCATGCGCGAACGTCACGAATACAGTTCTCAATCGCAATCACAGCATCAGCCTCGCTGGTCTTATCAACGGGATTAAACGATATATATAGCTGCGTATCGTCCGCATAGGTGTGAACGGATGGCAGATGAGATTTCATGATGTCAAACAGCGAACTCGCGTAGAATACATTCAATATAAGAGGCACTCAGAGTTATGATATTTTAACCGCACATAGACATGATATATTAATATTAAATACTACTTAAATACTAAAAACGTTTAGCAATGCTATCTTTAAGTGGTTTTGAACTATATTATCGTTGTGTACGGTCTCAGCAAAGAACATCTGGCTGCTTTCCAACTTTCTTCAGTGCTAATTTTCCTAACGAGTTTTACAAAAGTTAGGGAATCGTCCAATGTTAACCCAAACATATCCCGGAATATAGTAACTAGTCGGTACGGCAGCACCTTCAGCAAATCGCCGGCATTAGGCTCTCGCGCGAGAATCAGCGCCTTGCATTTTTCAGGGTTCAAGATCATCTTGTTTTCACGAAACCACTTCCATACCTCCTCGAGTTCCTTGTTGAGATTTGCATGAACTGCATGAGCAGTTCTTCTACCTGATTCGTGAGTTCTTTTCGGCTAGCGAGGGTTCCTTTATATTTTCTTTGCGAGACATCAACTTGATACTTGGCCTCTTGTCCTCCAGGGCCGAGTTGTTCAAAGCTGGGTTAAGAAAACCCAGGGTTAGTTCGAAATTTGAATTCAGATATGAAAGCTTAGAAAGCAAATTCAGTTCAATTCTTTTTGTCAACAATTTGATGATTGGCTACTCTAAAAAGAATAGAGAAAATTGTCCGAGAAAATGCTTTTGATGAAAAGAAAGAGAGACCCGGGTTAAAATTTAACCCTGGGTTATCGCTAGTCGGCCTTCGAACAAGCCCGGCCAGGAGACACGAGATATGGCATGATTCTGTCTTTTGTGGGTGTTGTGAGTTCTAGGTTGGGGCTAAAATCAGAGTGTGCGGGTTTTTTTCAACAGAGCTTTCTTTAGTTGTTACGCCATACTGAAGAGCTGCAATAATAGCGAAACAGCTGTCTATGGCTACAATCCCGCTCTGTTTTGAGTTCTTTCGGTGTCTTGTTGATGTCTTGCAAAGTTAAATTTCACGTAGGACCATCAGCATAGCAGTATTATGGTACGTTTAACTTGAACACATGACGGTTTCCTTGACAACAATAAATTTGAACCAAAGAAAA